TCCCAACAAACACTCAGGCACACAAGCGCTGGGGTGCAAGTCACTCCTACGTCCTACACGCAAGACACTCCTACTCCTAATGCAAACACTCTGAGGCTGGAGCGGCACAGGCCCTACCCCTACGCACTCAAAACCCTTGTCTCCACAGCGTGTGTCCCTACTGGTTTGCTTCTCCAAAGACGTGTTGCTTGCAGACTTAAGCAAAACAGCTGCGGCGGAACATAAAGCTTCAGCACAACATGCAGAGGGTGGGGTTTCCAGGTCTACTCCTACTTTTGCAACTGCAGCATGCTCACATCCACTCAAACGCTCCTGTAAAACATGCTCATGCAGCTCGTGTTCCCCCACATGTTGCTTCACTGAAAATGCTCGCAGCAAAAACTTAAAAGGTGTCACCTCCAATGCTCTTCCTACGTTGGGCGGTGCCTTCTTCTGCACCTTATCCACTTCCATCGCGTCGTCGTTCGGGCTCCACCCCGGCTTGGGTGAGTCCCCTTTGCTTCTTCTTCCTTTCGGCTTTGCCTTGGTAGGGCCAATCTCCTTAGCCAACGCCCACCAGCTCCTGGCTTCACGAACCAAAGGCACCCACATCGAGGAACCTCGTTCCGTTTGCTTCACCAAGCAGCTTGCTCCAGGCTCTGAGGTGAGCCAGGTATTCCATCCCGAGAGGGATGCTTGCCAAGAACTGACTACGTTGAAACCAATCTTGCAAACCAAGACCTGTTGAAGCACTACGGGCCCCAACTTCCCAAACTTCACCCGAATGTCAACCAACTTGACACATTCCATGGGCGTATCGCTAGCACTCATGAGCACAGGAAGAGGTCCCGAATGCTCCTTGACGACTTCGTAAAAACCCAACGCACTCTCTGACAACACGTGGCAGGTGGCTCCACTATCAATGAGCCATGCGAAAGAGCTATTCCTAGAGGATGACTGGTTCAGTCTCTCGATCTCTCCGTTCGTCATGGTGAGACGAGGGGGCTCAGCTTCATTGGGCTCATTAGTTCTTGTCCCCGGACCCAAGCCACTCAGATGATGAGACCGCATTGCCATCACCTGGTCAGACTGCTCGTCTTCCACAGCTCGGCCCTTGGGCTTTCCTTTGTTCTTTGGCTTTCCCTTGGGCTTTCCACCCTTTCCTTTGTCTGTCTTCCCTTTGCCTTTGCCCTTCCCTTTAGGGCTCTTCTCTCGATTCTTGGAACCAGAAGGCTTTCCACCTTTCGGTTCATCCCTCTTCTTCCCTTTTCCAGAGCTCTTGTCGGGGCACTGCCAACTCATATGGCCTGATTTGCCACAGTTCCAGCAGAGGCCGCGCTCCCCAACTGCATTCAGCGAACCAGCATCACACAATCGGGTTTGCTCCTCGTAAAACCGGATGCTTTCAACCAGTTCCTCCCAGCTCCCAGATTTCCCATGCAGGACAACGTAATGCCTACACTCTGGGCTGACAGATTGAAGAAGAAGGGTTGAACGATCAGATGCTCCAAGCCTCAGTTCAGGGAACCGATGCAGCTTCTGGTCTACCTTCCCAAGCTCGTCCTCAAGGAAGCGGACGCAGTCAAGCGGTCGCTTGTACGAACTCGCCTTCGAAGTTAGGCGAAGGGCTTCATCTCTCACAGCAATGGCCTCCATGCGAGAGACAATGCTGAAGGTCTGGTGCATTTGACGCATCACTTCATAACCACAAGCAGCTTGTCCTTGACGCATCGAAGTGCTTCTCACCAGTTCCATCCCACGTTCGAACTTCTGCAGACTTTGTTGCAGGTAGTAAAACAACCTTGCCGAACGCGAGGCTACCGGAACTGCCATGTCAGACTGCTTGATTTCACGGTCATGCGTCATTGCCTGGCGCAACTCATTGACATAGTTGTCGTCTATCAACGCCAGCCAGGAAGCAAGCACCTCGCACCACCGATGGTACTCCTCCAGCTCTCTCACACGCCCTTTTCCCATCGAAACATTATCGATGAGCGGCAATGCTGGCAGATACTTCTCTGCACGGTTACTTCCAACATGCAGGTTCTGTGATGGCGCCGGTGGAGGAGAAGAAGCCTTTGCCGTAGGACTTCCAGCAGCTGCTGCACTTGAAGCACCCCCAAATGGGTTGCTCACAGCTGCCGACAATGCTTCCTGCTCACGTCTCCTTCTCTCGTCGGCCTCCATCTTTGCCACCAGAACTTGAAGTGTCTGTTGCTGATTCTGCATCATCATTTGCTGACTCTGCATCATCTGGACCATCATCTGCTGGAGTTGAGGGTCAAGTCCGACGACCGTGGAGGGTCCTCCCGCTGGAGCAGAAGCTCCAGGGGGTTGTGTTGGCGGTTGTTGCCCGTCCTGGGCACCACCGGGGCCAGACAAAGCTTCGTCGTCTTCGTCTTCAGGCACAGGGGTCGACAGCCCGGGGTCAGCCATGGCTCCTAGTTTCTACGAGCGTGCTACACACGCTCCTCTACCATGTGAAAACACAGCAGCAGCGCGCTGAACCCTCTTTTTCTCACGACTTGAGCCAAAGTCATAAGCCGGAGGCTTCGTCAGTGAAACTCTTTACACACAGGTGAAAACTCTGCTCTGCCACGTGTTCTCCACAGCCACAAAACAACTCAAACGTCAGTGGGAGTTCTCGGGACCTACCCAACTACACCTAAAGCAAGCAAAAACGTGCACAGTCACTTCTACAGCTTCCAGACACACATCCCTACAACTCAAGCACTTCAAAAGGCTTTCCACTTAAAGCAGCACTCCCGTCGAGCCTCCAAGGCACAACTACGGAGTTCCTACAACTACACACACACAACTCTGAGCCAGCATGCAGGACAACAAAGTTAACATGTCCTCAGACAGGAACTTTCACACAGCAAGATGTTCCGAAGGTTCTGCTAATTTTTTTTGAGGATCCAACCAAAAGCCAAATCGAAAGTTTAAACAAGATCATATTGATTCTTGGCGTGTGGCGGCAGAAATTCAGAGTGTTATTATGCAGCAGCTTGTGTGTGGGATAGTTGGTGAGTTGCAGTCAGCTTTGCATGGAGGCTTGTGATTTGTTGCTAACAAAGAGGCTGTGTTGGCAACTGTGATTGCAGGTGTTTTTCTCAATTGAGAGGTTTCTGCAAAATAGAATGATGAGCCTGTAGTAAGGATGAACGCTGAAATTGATGGGTTTGGAAGCAATGAGAAAAGGGAAGGAAGTGCTGGACCAGGTTGTTCCGGAACCTTGCAACGACTTCTTTGCAAGTTCAAAACCGAACTCCAACATTGGAAGCCTTGGCATTTCATTAAATAGCAACATGGCTCTTAATGGGGCGTTTCTGCAGCATGCGCGCGGTGAAAACACTTGCTGTTACACAGTAAGCGGGGGGTCTGGGAGCGCACTGACAATTTAACAGAACTACGTTGAAAAAACGGGAATTTCTCTTTGAACCACTTGCTTTTCCAAAAAATTTGGTTAGAGTTTCTTTGTCTTTGTTTCAAGTTTTTGATTTTTTTATTTGAACTCTGCACAACTCTCAAAACCCAAAAGCAGTTCAAATCACAATTCTGACAATACAGAAAAACTTACACTGCCAAAAACAAAGACATGCTTTGCATTTTTTGTTTGTGTTTTTTTTTTTTTTTTTTTTTTTTTTTTTTTTTTTTTTTTTTTGGTGTGTGTCTGTGGTCTATGTGTGTGTATCTGTATCTGTTTTTATTGTCTGTATGTGTCTTATCGGTGTATTTTCGGGTTTTGCGTGTCATTCCAGTTCAGAGAAAATCTGGTTTGGCCAACAAAACAGTTTCAAACCGATTTTAGCCACCAAGCTTCTCTGCACCAAAACATCGCAGGTTAAGAGTTTTTGCAAGCAAGTCAAGCTCTAAACTCCAAAAAGTTTGGGCGGTTCTCTCAATTCAAGCAAAACACACACACGCACACACACATACATGCTGGAAAGAGTCGACAGAAGGCTCTTCGGCACCTCTTCACTGAATCCAAACTGCTGTCTGTTTCTGTGTCTGTATCTGTCTGTGTGTGTCTGTGTCTGTTTGTCTGTGTGTCCATGTGTATGCACAGAAGGCTCCAATTTGGCCCAAACTACTGTCTGTTTCTGTGTCGTATCTGTCTGTGTGTGTCTGTGTCTGTCTGTGTCTGTGTGTCTATGTGTATGCGTACAGAGTGCATGTCTGCATGTGTGCATGTATGCGTGCATGCGTGTGTGCATGTGTACATGCATGCATGTATGCATGTATGCATGTCTGCCTGTATGCATGTATGCATGTATGTATGTATGTAGGGGTGTGTATGTATGTTGTATGTATGTATGTATGTATGTATGTATGTATGTATGTATGTATGTATGTATGTATGTATGTATGTATGTATGTATGTATGTATGTATGTATGTATGTGTGTGTGTGTGTGTGTGTGTTTGTATGTATGTGTGTATGTATGTATGTATGCATGGATGGATGTATGTATGCAAATGTGTGTGTGTGTGCAGAAGAACCGGAGCTGGAATTGCGCAACATTTCCAGGTTCATTTTTTGTTCAAAATGGCGCCTAAATCCGTGTACGTCTGGCATGTGCTTTCTTGTTCTGCTTCGGCAGAGCAAGACTTGACGGCGACAGCTCGTGCATGGTTGCAAAACTCCGGTGAAGAGCGCATTGAGTTGAAAGTCTCCACCTTTCAGAAGCAGACCACGGTGCTCGGGCATTGCCACAGACATGATGGTTGTGGTTTGGCCTTTAGGTTCATGTTTCTGAAGCAAGAGAACTTACAGTTGCTCGGCCTTGTGCAAGAAGGCGAAAGATTCTTCATTGTGGAGTGCAACAAGAAGGATCGAAAGCATGATGGACAGTCAAAGTTGGAGGTGGGATTGTTTGTGAACAATGAGACTTGTTTGTTGGGTTTAGCAGTTCTGCGAACATTGGTTCTTGCGGGTTTGCAGGGTTTTGGGCACAGGTGGAGCAGTCCATCTTGAAAAGAAAGTACAGTCATCTTCCTACCGCACTCGCGAAGAAGCAGATGGTCACGGACAAAGTGCCAGAGGCACATATTCCAACGACTCGTGCTTTGGATGGTTCGCGACACAGATACTTAAAAAAGCGGTCGAAGTTCTGTGTGGACCTGGTGGAAATGTTGAAGGACTTTTTGAACAATCCGCCAGAACCAGTATCTGTGTTCGAGAGCATGAACGCCGCAGTGTCCGAAGATGAAGTTCGCTTTGCCTTCTTTGAGGCATCCAACATGCAGGCCGCCACGGAGTACATGGCAGGAAGTGAAAGGATCATCTTGATCTCCGATTGCACGTACCAGACGAACCATCAAAGATTGGTTCTTGGAAGTTTGGGACTTGCAGTACTTCATAGAGACGACCATGGAAAGGTGAGATGTCGGTTCTGGCCTGTGATGTTCAGTGTCTCTGAAGCTGAAGATGAGAGTGCGTATGATCTCTTGTGCAAGGCTTTCATTGACAAGACGGGTGTGAATCCGGGAAAGGTAAGCAACATTTTCCTCGACGGCCACGCAGGTGCGTTTGCAGCCATGCAGCGCCAGTTCCCAGGTGCATGCATCCACCGGGATTTGCAACATGTGAAGAAGAACATTAAGGACAATGCCGGCAAACTGCAAGACACCAACTTGAGAACTTACATCACCGACGTGGTCGAGTTTTCAGCGAAGCTTTCGCAACCCAGTGAATTTCATACCGTCTGGAAAGACACCCTGGGTCGGCTTCGCAACAAGTGGCACGAGGAGTGTGGTTCGAAAGATAGACTGGTCTAAGAGTCAGAGGGTAAGTCTTTAAGGTCGGACTCAATACCTAAGCCAAATCAGGAGTCCATGGCCGCTTACTTGGAGGAGCACATCTTAGACAAGTCTTCTAGACGCTGGTACGGAGCACGGTGGCAGTCAGGCTTGGGCTCCATTTGTATTGGCTACAACACACACACCTCCAACAGTCAGGAGAGGATGTGGCGGACACTGAAGGGGAGTTTGCCCAAAGATGGAAGGCACCTGGATTTGGGTGATCTAGTTCAAAACACGGCCCAACTTCTTCTGACCTGGACACGGACCGGGCAATTCGCAAGTGTGTTCTTCCGACTTGAAACGCCTCTGCCAGTTCACTTGTCGAACAAGGGCAAGCAGATTATGTCAGAGCCAGATGTAGACCCGTGCGGCGTCCAGCACAGGCGGCTAAGTGCCGCCCAGATGCGAGAATGGTTGGAAGAGCACGGTGCGGAACACACGTACTTGAAGGAGGTTTTGGACGGTGCCCGTGTTCTAATTGATGGACGCACCAAAGCTGTGGCAGAAGTGTATGTGCTTCCTAAGTACCAGATGAAACTCGCTCTGGAAAAGCCAGAAGAGTTGCAGAGTCGTTTGGACTTGTTTATGTCGTGTTTGCATGAAGACCCTGAGCTCATGATGCGACAAAGCTTGGGGAACGTGCACACGTGGAGTTTCAAGCGTCATAAATCCTTGTTCTACCGTTACGTGTTGGTGTGTTGCTTGGCCGATGGCCAAATTTTGGACGAGCATCCGCACTTTACTCATGACACAGCGTCTGAGCACGCTGCTTTTGTAAAAAGCCCTGTGTCCGACTTAAAGATAGGCAGGCGGGTTTTGGGACTGCAGAGATAGGAAGGGGGGTTTTGGGGGGACTGTGCTTGTATGACCAATCGCAGAGATAGGAATGGGGGTTTTGGGGGGCCTGTGCTTGTATGACCAATTGCAGAGATAGGCAGGGGGTTTTGGGGGGACTGTGCCTGTATGACCAACTGCAGAGATAGGCAGTCGGGTTTTGGGACTGCAAAGATAGGAAGGGGGGTTTTGGGGGGACTGTGCTTGCATGACCAATTGCAGAGATAGGCAGGGGGGTTTTGGGGGGACTGTGCTTGTATGACCAACTGCACAGATAGGCAGGCGGGTTTTGGGACTGCAGAGATAGGAAGGGGGGTTTTGGGGGGACTGTGCTTGTATGACCAGTTGCAGAGATAGGAAGGGGGTTTTGGGGGGACTGTGCTTGTGTGACCAATGGCAGAGATAGGAAGGGGGTTTTGGGGGGACTGTGCTTGTATGACCAATTGCAGAAACAGGAAGGGGGTTTTGGGGGGACTGTGCTTGTATGACCAGTTTGCAGAGATAGGAAGGGGGTTTTGGGGGGGACTTGTGCTTTGTATGACCATTTGCAGAGTAGGAAGGGGTTTTTCTTTGGGAACGTTCTTGTATGACAGTTACAGAGATAGGAAGGGGGTTTTGGGGGGACTGTGCTTGTATGACCATTGCAGAGATGACAGGAAAAAGGGGGTTTTGGGGGAAATAGGAAGGGGTTTTGGGGAGACTGTGCTTGTAATACCATTGCAAATCGGAGGGGGGTTTGGGGGAACTGTGCTTTTGTACCATGGCAGAGAATAGGAAGGGGGTTTTGGGGGGACTGGCCTTGTATGACCAATTGCAGAACATGAGGTAAGGTGGTTTTGGGGGGCCTGTGCTTGTATGACCAGTTTGCACAAGAGATAGGAAGGGGTTTTGGGGGGACCTGTCTTGTATCCCAGTTTGCAGTAGATAGGAAAGGGGGGTTTTGGGGGGAACTTTTCTTTGTAATGACAGTTTACAGATAGGAAAGGGGTTTTGGGGGGACGTTGCTTGTATGACCAGTTCAGATACAGGAAGGGGGTTTTGGGGGAAAATCTGAGGAATGGTGTTTTGGGGGGACGTTCTGTATGACCAAAATTGCAGAGATAGAAGGGGTTTTTTGGGGACGGCTTGAAGACCAGTTACAATAGGAAGGGGTTTTTGGGGGGACTGTGCTTGTATGACCGTTGCCCAGAGACAGGAAGGGGTTTTGGGGGAAAAAGAAAAAGGGGGTTTTGGGGGGACTTGCTTGTATGAAAACCAGTTGCAGAGATGGAAGGGGTTGTGGGGGGGACTGTGCTTGTAATGACCATTACATATATGGAATGGGGGTTTTGGTGGAACTGTGCTTGTATGCAGTTGGCATATAGATTGGAGTTTAACCCAGGAAGGGTTTGGGGGGAATGAGGGAGGGGGTTTTTTGGGGGGACTGTGCTTGTAATGACCAATTGCAGAGAATCGGCAGGGGGTTTGGTGGGACTGTGCTTGTATGAACCCAATTGCAGAAACCAGGAAAAGGGGTTTTTTTGGGGGGACTGTGCTTGTATTACCAGTTGCAGAGATAGGAAAAAGGGGGTTGTTTGGGTGTACTGTGCTGTTTGACCAATTGCAAAGCGCAAGGGAGGCTAGGAAGGGGTTTTGGGGACTGTTGCTTGTATACCAATTGCATAATTGCAGAGAGACAGGAAAGGGGTTTTGGGGGACTGTGCTGTATACCATTGCAGAATGAGCAAAAGGGGATGTTTGGGCACTGTGCTTCTAAAGTTCTGGCCTTAAAGCCAGGATTCTAAGGGCAAGCGGGCACGCTTGCCTGCACACGGCACGCTGTTCAGCAGTTCGCAGCTCGGAAACGCTTGCCTGCACACGGCAAGCCGCCGCCACGCCCGCAAAAGCGGGGGAGACGGATGGGGGAGACGAGGGACGACGTCATTCCTTAATGGGGTGCGCAAGGAATCTGGGAACTCCAATTTTTCCCACAAGCGTCTATGGTGTGAATTTTCTCGTGTTGCATATTGGTCTGCTGGATGGTGCTACCCACAAACCCCCAGCCCCAGCGACATGATACACAAACATTATACCCAAACAGTTGAAATGCTTTGGGCTAGATGTTGGTATGTGTGTTAACACGGCCTCTCCCCTCTTAGCCCCTTGCGTTGCTGTTGTTTGCTGTTTGTTGCTTGTTCGCCACCGTGAACCTGCTCACATTCCACAGAAGGAGAGACAGAACATGAGGACGAACCAAAACGCCTCGCAAGCCAATGAACCGAACGGGTGCTCAAGGCCACGTGTACCAGATGTATCGTGAAAAATGCTTCTTGGCATTTTTGGCAAAAATACAGATTCCAGAGAAGTTTTGTGGGTAGCCACTTTTTGAATACAGCCAAACGCTCCTCAACGTGCGTGGTCGCTTTTTGTGGGCTCTGCTCAGCTGGTTTTCTGTGAGCCCTTTACTGCTTGTCTGTGTGGCCTTCCTGCTAGCCGGGACTCAGCCTTCGACATGTCCGTTTTGGGTTGTAGTTTCCCCTTTTTTTTTCGTGGTTGGCGCGTTTCTTCTGTTATATGTGTGCAACCTTTCTCACAAACGCAAAGCAAGCTTGCAGCCACATGGAAAAAACGGGTCCTATCTTAAGCTTGCTTCATATTGTGACGGTGTCATCAGTGTTAGAAGCTACGAGCTCCCGCGCCCGCCGTATTGATTACAATGGTTCCAAGTGTTGAAGTTCCAACTGTTTTTTGAGAAAATTGTGATTGGATCGCGGAGGTTTTTTCTCATTTTTTTTTCACGTTTAAACCTGGGAATGATGCTTTGCTGTATTGGCCGATGCTCTGCTGCCAATGCAAACACTACATTTTTGGCCCACCACAAGGCCGCAGGCATCGAGTGGCCCGCCGTCAGACACGTTTGAAAAAAAAAAAACACTCGCCCACCTGCGCTCATCCCAAGACTAGCTTGCTAGCTTTGGCCCGTGAGGGCCATGGTGTTACAAATAGGAACTCTTCGTTGAGTTGTCTTGGCTGTCGCTCAGCGATTGTTCAAGCAACAAATCGGGGTGCGCAGCAGGACCAGAGCGCCATGCAGTCCCGCTGTTTTGGCGTTGGGAGGTTTTGTGTTTTGGCCAAGGCCGTGCATGTTTGCGTCCGAGGCACCCCCAGCTTGGCACCAGACTCCAGTTCCATTTCCACCCCGGAAGATGCCGAGTTTCACCGGCTTGGATGCATTCCGGTTGCCTCGATGTGATGAACCATGGTGGTGTCCCTGTTCGCTTCGCCTGTGCACGGGCTTGGCAGGTGGGAAAAATAATCGAAAAGAGTTTTGGCGGAATTCAGAATCGGCCGCGCATTGCCTGGGAATGAACCGAATAATAAAATCGCAGGTGGAAGTGCCGTCGCACGCAAGGTCAAGCATGGCTGCCAAGTCACGGGGTGACAGATGAAATCCGCTGAAAGAGTTGCGAGAGTGATCTGCTTGGTTCACGTGTGTCCGACCCGAGGACGTGGGCTTTCTGGGTTGGTTTCTGTTTTCTCACAAAGGCCGGATAATCATTGCTGCCAGTACTTTGCTTTTGATACATCCGTTTCGTAATTCTTTTCGCAAATTTTTGAGTGGATGTGCATGCCATTGACACCTGGACCATAGAGGGGTTCAAGTTCGTGACTTCTTGGGCAGGTGCAAAGCCTTGAGGTCACCTGATCCTTGTTTTGTGTTTCATCATGTTTGGTCTGGCAGCCTTGGCAGCCCCTGGCCTTGGGCCCAAATGCTGGAGTTTTTAGGTTTTAGGGTTGTGTTTAGGTTTTAGGCGTCCAGTCCGGAGTTCTCCGTGAACGCAGCTTTTGCGCCTCTGGAGTGCTGGAATGTCATGTCTTGCGTGCCTGCATGCAGCTGATCTTTTTGTTTCAATCAGGAGGGCCCCCCCCCAATGTCACAAGAGCAGCGTATCAGGCGTGCATTCGGTCGGTACGCTGCAGAGCTTGCAGAGCAGAGCTCGGAAAAGTTTTCGTGGAAAATGTCATCTACTGGCGAAATATGGGCCCCGTCCTCTGGAATCTGGGCGGCCACTTGCCTTTCCGCACCCTGTCTGAACGTGGTCGCTGCAATATACGCTGCCAATGTTGCGAAGCTCTAGCAGTGCCTATCAGTGATAGCCGGT